GCAGCAGCCCAATATCCCGGGCGCCAAAAATAGCGGAAAGAGTATCCGAAGTGTAGACCAGGCCATCAGTTGTCCCTACAGTAGCAAGTCTTCTAGAGCTTCTCGGATCATGATGGCTGACCCGACAATCGGTATCCTCTAGAGTAATTATCAATTTCCTTACCAGAATCTTTCCATTTATTCGTATACAATGGTATATTTGATGGCGACAACTTCAGAAAACAATTTTACTGCCTACCATCTACACAAAAAAAGAAAACAAGTCCCGTTTTCTTGGCAGGTAATACCAGACCAGTCCCTTGATAAAAGCCTGGACAGTAGGAGTCAAAAAGTCCATGATGCTCGTTAACGTGCCCTAGGGCACATGTCGTTTTTGAAGTCGTACTGTATTTGCGGCGGTTGGTTTTGCTGTAACCTACACCGGCTGCAGAGGTATGACCGTCCGGATATTGCAGCCAAGCAAACATTCCATTATACCGCAGCTTCATAAAATATTAGGTTGTTCGAAAAGTCCTGCGACACTTTGATTGAATTGTTCTAGAAAAAGACCAAAAATCATTTTGGATGTTTTTATCCCTGATTAGTGGAGACTGTCCTCTGGGGTTTCTGCACATGGGTATATCATGACTTTGTGGAAGTTTTCAAAGCTTAAAAGTCCCTCAGAGATCGAGGTACTTTTCGACCTATCCCATATTATGAGTTCCTGTAGGGCCACTCCGCCGTAGTCGAGGAAGCTAACACTTACGTTGTCTTGAGGAAGGATATCGCTTGCCATGGCAGAGGGTAGCTTTTGCATCAGCGCTTCCAGGCTGGACTTATTTAACTCGTAGCAATGTATAGGTCGCCCACCAGCACAGAATGACGGCCCTTTACTCAAGCTTCTTGAGGCGCAGCCGAACGTAACCACCAGTAAGTTGGCAACCTCTCTAGGCTCCACCTGACTGACAACTGCCATGCTTCTCCGCAATCTCGGTTATCGGAAAATTTTTTGTGAAGGATGCCTCATGAGTTGGACCCGTCTGACAAGTCATACCGAATGACCGTGACTGAGTTTTCTTTTCCTTGTACACAGCGAAAGAACTTTTGTGAGATCTTGTGGTTGGTAGCGAGTGTTGGAGTCCTTGCGTACATCATGCACATGTCCCTCGCAGGATCTCTCAAACAGTAAAGTAGATTGCTTAGCCAAAAACAGATGTGCATGGGATAAAGATTTCAGTGTGTTATTGGTGGGACTTCAAAGCGGTATCACTGGATACTAGCACCGTTGTAAGGACCACAGTCCACCTTAATCGACTTCAAAATATGGATGACGTCACGCTTGAATTCATTCAGAAATACTCAATTTTTCTCTACTACTCGGCAATGCGAAGACCGCATGTGGGGATCAGGCTACGCCAAAAGATCATGGATTTCGATCAGAGAATGCGACCGTACCCAGGTTATTTAACAAAGTTAGCAGCCTCTAATTACCACCTCCTTTGGTCCCTATCGCATCCTTTAAAAAGCAAAAATTCCGAAAATCGACCTCAACTCGAGAATGAGGTCCACCTCTTCTTTTTATCATAGTTGCCGTAGTTCTATGCAATGGAAATGAGAAGCTGTGCAAAAGAACCTTGTAGATTGGAGATGTCTTTTAACGACAGAAAATTTAGTCCGAAAAATTTGGTCAAATGTCGCAGGACTTTTCGAACAACCTAATATTTCCTGCTCGAACTTCGCATGAAGGGCTAACCGATGGACCGATCCTGACTCCTACTTTTTGCGTCAAGAACATTTGGCGGCTGCGCTGTCCTGGATTGCGCCTACATGCGGAATGATAACGAGTCAGTGCGAGAAGGGGCTATTGCACCAAAGTGGCGATAAAGTGCGGCATAGCCAGAATGAGTGTCAGACTTTATAACAGGGCATCGAGAGACCCTCGTAGTCCAAGAGTTCTTCAATAGCTGTTGGACAGCGTGATTGTAAAATAGTGTCGGTTCTCGAATCGTCAGGGCATAGAAGGTGGCTTGAGCGACTTGCAGCCAAGCTTTATCCATTGTCTGTCAGACACAGGAGGACTGGAATCCGAAAAGCGAGAATTTGGTTTCGAGAGTGTTTAGTTCACAAACCCTCACCTTGTTGTGCCGTTAAGGGTTCATCGTGATATTCATCCGATCATCCGTCGAGTCTTGAAGGCAAGCTATGGGAATCACTCAAGTAACTTCAACGGTACTACTACATACTTACTACCTACTACTACGAGGTACTTCCTTTTTGCATATTTTTTGTAGCTCACGATGCATGCCCAGTGAAGGTTTCATAAACATTCGTACCCAACATTTGATTTAAAATAGAAATATTTTTCGTGATACTTGTGTGGACACCTACAACATGCAACACCTTTCTGAAAAGCACGCTATGCCCGAAAGACCTCTCTGGTAATACGTCATTGTCTGCGAACCGAGAGTGGTACAAGGCGAAATAACGAAATATGCGTGGATCTGCACTCTGTTTCCAAAGTATCTGCAGTTGCCGAACAAAACATTCAAGCGCTCCTTGGACATTCGCATTGGGTAAGTGATGAAAGCGAGCTCTGCCTAACATCAACTAAAATATTGCTATCATAAAAATATTTTAATTTTATGTAAACGGGGCGCTTTTTGTTCCTTGTTTTTTCACGTGATCACCTTCCTTTTTCATGAAGGAGATGACCTAATAAGTGGAATCGATATGCTACATGCGTGCTGAAAATGAAATATTTACGCGAATCGTGTAGAATTGTGTTTTTCTGTGCGCAGGGTGTTGGCTGAAATTGGTAGAGCCGCCTTGGAAACGAGTAGATGCGAGCTACCTTTCACATCTCAGCTAAGCAAGTTTTTGTAAGTTTTTTTTGTTTTTTGAGTTGAAATTTAGTTTCCCCGCAAGTTTGTGTGAAAAATTTAGTTCTTCCCTTCTTCGACGCTCCAATTTCCTTCTCACGTTCTGCATCAACCTCAGTTCAGTATGATGAACTTCTCATCGATCTGATGTCAAGCAAGCTGGGTGGCAGCTGAATTTGAATAATCGGACACTTGATCAAATCGTCCTCATGGTAAAATACAGTTTTGTTGTGATCGCAAGGTCCTATTACATGAAAGCCGCGAATATCCCTTTCGAAAGAAACCAATAAACCAAAGAAACTACAACCAATAAACCAAAGAAACTACATCTTATCTATCGTAAAAATATCTTGAAAAATATTGCTATCATAAAAATATTTTAATTTTATGTAAACGGGGCGCTTTTTGTTCCTTGTTTTTTCACGTGATCACCTTCCTTTTTCATGAAGGAGATGACCTAATAAGTGGAATCGATATGCTACATGCGTGCTGAAAATGAAATATTTACGCGAATCGTGTAGAATTGTGTTTTTCTGTGCGCAGGGTGTTGGCTGAAATTGGTAGAGCCGCCTTGGAAACGAGTAGATGCGAGCTACCTTTCACATCTCAGCTAAGCAAGTTTTTGTAAGTTTTTTTTGTTTTTTGAGTTGAAATTTAGTTTCCCCGCAAGTTTGTGTGAAAAATTTAGTTCTTCCCTTCTTCGACGCTCCAATTTCCTTCTCACGTTCTGCATCAACCTCAGTTCAGTATGATGAACTTCTCATCGATCTGATGTCAAGCAAGCTGGGTGGCAGCTGAATTTGAATAATCGGACACTTGATCAAATCGTCCTCATGGTAAAATACAGTTTTGTTGTGATCGCAAGGTCCTATTACATGAAAGCCGCGAATATCCCTTTCGAAAGAAACCAATTTTCAATAAACTATATCTTATCATTTTCACATGAAAGCAAGCACGATATATCCCACGAAGGCTGAGAATTCAGAGGTCTCTACTGCCTGCTCGTCTACTCTTGTGCTTTCAATGAAACCAATGGTTTATTTAGTCAGGCCTTGCCTCTGTCGAATATGCCAAAAAAAGGCTTGCTCAAACTTTTCTGAAAGTAACTTGCATCCATAGGCCACACAACTCAATTTTCTGGTGCAAAAGCTCTACCTGCACCAACATTGCACGCTACCGTAATCCTCCACCGCAGAGTTTTCGAAGTTTCCTTTCTGCTGCTAGTTTCGCGTTGATGCTTTTGTTGTTTTTCGCTTCCTTTTCTCTGTATCAGATGGTATTCAGTAAACTATGGAAGCAGGATGAGCATGCGGTTAGCCTCATTCGGCGCACCATCGAAAGGACGATGCTCGGAGTTCTCCGCTACGAGCAGGTGAGAGAGGGGATCCGTTTCTATGATCAGGTGGGCCAGTCACATCATTCGTTTTAAAGACGACCACTGGACCTAAGCGATTGCCGACTGGGTTCTACGGTATGCCATGCTAACAGCTCCTGGATTACCGCCTACGCGATGGTGAGACTTCAAGATCTGAGCAAATGGTCTGAAGTTCACGTGTCTCCCGAGCAGACGGAACCCATGGGGCCACCAGGGACGATTGGAGACATTACTGGAGCCTGCTCGAGGAACTCGATGATCAGCCGTAGCACGGTTGATACAGGTGATACAGATAAATCGCGTCCTTCTATAAAGACCCTGACCATTAAAATGGACCCCAGCTTGAAATAAGAAGTCGAATATGGAGCTCATTGCAATTTTTGTTCGTTAGGACTTACATTCTACAGCTTCACATGTGTCGGTATAAGCCCGAACCCAGGCGGGCGCACTTTCTAGGAGCTGTTCCAGATTTACCTCAATTTTTTTGCATGAGCAAGTCTAAATCTGCACACAAGGAACTACCTCCGAACTAGACACCTACATGCCACGTGTTAATGAATTCTCGTTCGTATTGAATTTGAATGGCAGAAACCGTTAGTTTTGGCGTTGTTTTCGTTGATCACATGTCAAACGCTTTTCAAAAGGAACTAAAAATTGGTAACCATATTTTGCGCGCTTTATTCAGTTTATAATGATCATAAAAGTTGCTTTATGACAATTTGGTCTTCATAAAGACGAGGGGATCACGAGAAACATCGCTCTCCAGAATGTTGACCTTTGCCTTTCTGCGTTTGTTCCTTCTAATGGCGGTGAGTTCTCCCTCTAGAAACAATCAAGTTCGCATCAGGACAAACTCTTTCTAAGGTTTACCACGCGGTAGTGGTATCAAACAGTTCAAGCACGGACGATCCATCAACAACAGACGTCCCTTCATCAACAGACAACTCAGCAACCTCAGAAGAGTCCTCAATGGCTCCAGAGTCGAGCACTTCTGAAACAATGACGACGACTGCTGCCCCTCGTTCGTTTTTAGGAGAATCAACAAAACATAGTTTTTAAGTCATTCAGAGTTATGACTCTCATGCTTTATCAAAGAACCTATGTACACCAAGTTTTTCGAGAAAATACGCGCTCATATTAGAGATTTTTCGTAACATTTTACAACATTGCAGAGCCCAACAACCGAATCTGTCCAGGCAATTCAGGAATGATTGACTCTACAAGAGTAACGGCAAAATCTGCTCACAATTATCGCAGGTAGAGCATCGGTTCTTCGTGATTGCGGAAACTTCTTTTCCACAATTTATGGAACTTACCTTCGCATCCTTTTCAGATCAAGACTAGCAAGAGGACAAGTAGCAAATAAGGCTGGAAGAAATTTGCCGACTGCAACTAACATGATGTCTCTGGTATTTCAAAGTTTATTTCATCGAGCTCCGATTTTCTGAAGCAATTTATTTCCAAATCAATTGATGTTCTGTAATCATTTTTAGGAATACGACTGCACACTGGAAGCAAGTGCATTAACATCTGCGAATCGGTGCTCCAAGAGCAGGGACCCGAATCTTTCTTCTGACATACAAGAAAATATCCGTTTATTCTCGATGTCGCAAAGCTATGTCTGAAACGGATGCGATCATTTTTGTCAGTCCAAATTCAACGATAAGCTAACAGAGAGAAGACACACTGACATTAAGGCTATAAAAAAGTGGTGGAGACAAATAAGGTGGACCGGTGGTATTGGACAGCGCGTGACCTATACACAGTACAATGCTGGCTCAGCCGTTGAATGGTTCACTAGGGTGAGAATCATGAAATTTTCAAGGAGCACTATTTTTATTTCTATTTCGAAAGAGCACCTTTTCGCAAGACATTGTTTGAAATTGTGGGATTTGCAGATGGCATGGGCGACAACACAAAAGCTTGGTTGTGCCGTAACGACCTGCAGCGGTAACATGTGGAATGTTGTATGCCACTACAGTCCTGGGTTCGTTTACCTCACTAGCTTTCAATTCCTGTCTTTTACGAAGAAGTAAGCGGTTTCATTTCGGTGAACAATCAAAATCTGGGCGCTGTGTGCACATTTTGAAAAAGGGTTTTGTTGTTTCTTCGAATTTTTAAGCCATGCATTATTTGATCTCACAGCACAGCAGATCTCTCTCACTGCACTGTAACTTGACTTTCTAGGGGAAACATGCTCAATCAACAAATCTACAAGACGGGATCAACTTGCTCGGACTGTCCTGGCACTCCGTACCTCATTCTGCAACGAAAATGGCCTGTGCCAAGTCGTTGCATAAACTCAACAACCCTTTCTGATCTTGCGCTTTTACCATTGCAAAATAAAGAGGTTGATTTCAAACTTGTGAAAATTGTTTCTTTGGACCTTGTTCATATGTGGAAGAGCATTTTTAGGTCATTTGTCGCTCATGCTATCTGGGGATGCCAATCCCGTTGTCCGTAATAAGACAGCGTTCAGTATCTCGCGATAGCAGCGCCGACCGTCGGTACAGGTCAGAGCGCGCCCCAACGCTATTACTTGCACAGCTCGCTTTGATAAATGAAGAAATCCACTTGTGAAACCTTTTTTCTCTCATAGTCTTCTTCTCCCTAGCGTTATTCCCGCGCCGTCGCAGGGTCCGCTGTTCTTGTTAGACGTCGCCATTTGTTCCGATCCACTGCATCTTCTGCCGTGGCTTTCACTTCAGTGAGGTCCTTCTTGATGACGTCCCTCCATCTTTTCTTTGGGGCTCCTCGTGGTCGCTTGCCCTCTACTTCGAATTCCAATGCCTTCCTTATTGGGTGGTCCTCAGGCCTTCTCAGTACGTGCCCATACCATCGCAGTCGCTGCTCTCGTGCCTTCAGCTGGATCGGAGCCGTCTGTGTGACGCCCTGACGTCCTCGTTTCTGACTCTGTCGAGTCGTGTCCAACCGCAGGCCCATCTCAGCATCCTCATTTCAGCTGAGTGGAGCTGCCTTTCATGGTTCTTGCAGATGGGCCAGCACTCACTGCCGTAGAGCATTGTAGGCCTTACCACCGCCCGGTACACCTTGCCCTTGAGCGTTCTCGAGCACCGCCGGAACATAGACTGTGCGGACACGGAAAAACGTCATGGTATATTGTGAACCTGAGGAGCTTGCCAAATTCAGACATGGGGAGGTACTGGGAATCTATGTAAATATATGAGAGGGATATGAGAGGGCTCCACTAACTAGGTTCCTTGCGCACATAAAAGTGTCGTACTTCAGAACTTGTGTAAATGTTTTATTTTCAATATGCATGTAGCACATCAGTTCCACGTTTCAACTCATTCCTTTCAGAAACCTTCAAGGTTTCCTCTGTCAAAACAAAGAATAAATTGAATAACAAAGTAATATTTCGGTTTCGCGATTGCGGAGTAAATGCTGTTGATTTGGTTCATGCTACTGACTGGGAGAGTTGAAATCGCACACCTTAGTTCGTGCTTTTCCTCGTAGCAGGCCTGGCATTGTGCTGAGCGTGGTCGCTTTTCGTATCTGCGTGGTAGCATCCATTCGTCGAGGTGATCGTTGAGGTGGGGTCGATACGGAGCGGCAGTGCAGAAATCCATTGCCATGATGCCTAGACCTGCGTAACTTCTCCAAGTAACTCGGTTGACTTTTCTCGCGTATCCTGTCAAAGTGACTCTCGATGAATTAGGGTCCATAGTACAAGGCAACCCTTATTTACCATTGTTAGACGATTTGAAAGAGTCCGGAATATCCCTGAAGCCTTCTGAGACAAAATATTTGTGGGGGAAACTGCGGGATTGAAGAAGAGCTAAGTTACTGAGGTGAGATTTTTTCGAGAAGTGCCTCAACCATTACATTCTTTGTTTAACTCTCACTGAACAAGGAAACCTAAAACTGTTTATAACAGCGTGAAAATTTGTAGAATAATGTGAGTGAACAGTTTCTAAGCACATTGTATCACTTTTTCAACTCTTCTTAATTTTATCAAGCTTTTGGCTAGTTTTGCATTTTTCGGCTCATCACTTTTATCACGTAACAATATTGAATCCCGTTTAGCATATGTCTAGATATAAAAGTAATGCATGAAACGACGCAGACGTGTGTACAGCATTTTTATATTACATGTATAAAATAAAAATTTTATACGCTTGTGCTCAGCGCGTCGCAAGCCGCGTCGATAAAACGGCGTCGGCCACAGCCGGTAGCGCAAAAACGCTGCGGTATGCAATGGGTTAATCAAACTCATTTATGCATCTCCTCCCTAGTTACTGCAATATATGAGGTACCTGCTCGGTTTATCGGATGCAGCTGTACTGTTGTGTGTTATGCGATTCTAATCGAATAAGGATCTGTGTACCTGTGAAGTTCACCAGGCTGATCAAACAAAAGTACTGAAAATCGAAGAAATTAGATTCCCAGGAAGAAAGTGATACAAGTAAACTTGAAATGAGCCTTACAGGCCCTCCAAACGGCACAGCACGAAGCCGACACATCGAACGTACCGCGGCTGCGTCACGTGTTGAAGGCAGTTGGCACGATGATTTGGTGCTCGGCCTAAAATGCTAGTAGGGCGCTATATAGTGGGGAAATGGCGAAAGAACGGAGTGAAACGGTCAAAATCCTGCGAAGAAAAAGCCTCCGTTCTCAGTGACTTGTAAATCGATTTTGGACGAGTTTCCCGTAGGCATCTTGCCAATAACCGCTACCGAAGGTACGGCTGCATATGTGTACTCATATATCCATGCAGCATCACGGCCGCTTCATACCAATCCCTTCGCTTCATAATTTGCTTAGCAAATGAATCGATTAGAGCGTCAGGAACGGTCGTCCATTTGTGGGCGGGCGGGCGTGGCGGGCGTTTGGGTTGTTGTGGCTTGATAGGGCCCCTATAAGGGCACCTCCCTTGAAAGGCATTATGCAGCGCCCGCTCAGGATCTCGGACTTGCTAGGCGTATTAATCCTACTCGTCTTAGGGGATTCATCGTGCCAACTGCCTTAACCCATTGCATACCGCGGTTTTTTCGCTGGCTGCCGCGTGTGCCCGAGCCATATTTCGCAACCTCGCCGGCGTGCTGCACATGGTGCAGCACGCGGCCAGAGCGGTATTTCTCGCGCCCGCAGCGAAGTATAAACTCAACGTACGTCGTTTCGCTTCTCCAGGCTATTTATTTTTGAGAAACTACGCTTAATTTATGGTAGCTGTTCCAAATAGGCAATGATGGACGCGAAATAGATCGTTTGATGAACTTCTGATTGAAAATGATAACGAAGTGATGGGACAGGGCCCCGATACCCCTGAAGATATGTTTGTCCGCGTGAATCATTAAAGTGATGAGTCCGATTGGGAATCAAGCGAAGAAGGCTCAGATAAAACGATGGAGGATTCAATGGACCCCAAATATCAGCAGGCAGAACAATTTTGACTTCCAAGGTTTCGGTGGTGTACTGGATGAAGATGTTCTATTTTACCAGTACCCAATCAGATTTTTCCGGCGATTTTTCACAGACCATCTCGTTGATTTGATTGTAAGAGAAGCCGATCGTTATGCTATCGCAAAGTACTTGAACTGGATCAATCTCGACGAGGGCGAACTACCTTTCCCGGACGAATGGTGCTCCGTACGCTAGAAACCACACAATATTAGTGAATACAGGATGAACAACCTGCGATCAATATTTCTGCATTATGTGTTTCCACACATATCATCAACGGTGTCCTGTTTAATCCTTTATGAGTGTTTATGAACGTAGAAAATAAATGAAGAAGATCACAATTGAAGTATTTCATGAAAGAGGTCAATAACCCAAGTGCTCCTTCAGCGATCGAGGTCCCACGTACTTATGTTGTTCTCCGTGCTCGAAAACATATGCTCGCAAATTTGTGGGAGCGAAAAAATCATCGTGTTGCACCATGTGCAGCACGCGGTCATACAGCGACGAATGAGCACGCGGTACGCAATGGGTTAAATACTGGGGCGGTACCGGCCCGTTGCTTTTTTTTGGAAGGGTATTCCGGAAATGGTCTTTCGCAAAACGGTAAAAACCATTCATGTCGTATGGAAAGATTACGCAGGGTACATAACAGCTCTTAACGAGCTCCACGGCTTGTGGCCAGAAAATAACATGGAGAACTTCCAGCGAAACGCAACTTTTTCACCCTTGGATCAACTTCGTTCAGGCATACGTAGTATGGAGACACACAGGTGGTCAAAACTAGGTTCTCTCTTTCTAGTGAGCCCAGAATTATTTATGGATTTACTTTTGCGGTTGTGGACGTATCCCGCATAATATGTCGTAGCCCCTGCTGATCACTTACTTATTGGTGGCATGAACCTGCCACAGAGTGAACAAAAACCGATAATCTATGACC